CCCAAAGTTTTGGACAATTCGGTGACCATGGCTAGACCATTACTGGTCAGTTGCTGAGACGACTTCAAAAACTGCTTCATCTTCTCACCCGCCTCACCGGTGGTGTTCTCGAACCCATCCAAACAAGTGTCCTCGTACGTCATTGCACCACTGAGCCACACTTTCAAATCCTCGACGAACGCTTTGACTTCGCCCATTTGAAATGTGCTGATTCTGTCGAACGACTGTTTGATATCGTCGATGGCGAACTCGAGGAGCTCGCGACAGTTTTGTAAGGCTTGGTTGGCTCGTGGATCTTTAGCCAGCTCTTTCAGAGTCGTGGAGTTTTGAATCGCCCCGTTTACGTAATCCGTGGCGATTTTGAACGCCGACTTGACCAATTCTTTTGGGTCCGTACTGGTTACTCCCTCCTTGGTAAGGCTTTCTTCGCAAATTTCTTTGTAATCAGTGGGTTGGCAAATTGCTTTGATTGCTTTTGTGGACGTTGTAATTTCGCCACTGGATGCTGTATCAGGAGCGGCGCTTTTAGAGTTGGTGACAGCGACAGCCACCACCATCGCCACAAGGACCAGAGCGGAGACGCTCACAATTGCGATTTTTTTCTTTCCACCATCATCGCTAGACATCTTGGACGACGAATAAACAACTTATTGAAAGGGAAAAAAAGGAAAAAAAAGAAGATTTTCTTTTTCTTTTCTGAAACAGCAGAGCTCCCGGGGCTTTTTGGTATATAGAAGATTGGTTTGCCCCTTGGGCTCTGGTTTGAAGAGAGTGTGGAATTGAGATGAATTTATAGTGACGAAGAGAGGGGTAGAAATGGAAAATATTTTGAAGGGCAGTTATTTCTGTTGCCAAATGGGAAGTCCAACTTTTTTTTCTCAATCGAAGGTTGTGCCATTTTTGGGCAATTTCTTTGCTCGGCTTTAGGAACTAAATTGACCAATTTTCTTTGCCCTTTTGATTAGTTAAACTTAACTAAAATAAAACTAACCCAACTAAAATAAAAATTATTTAAATTTTTTTATAAACTATCAAAATGTTACGAAAAACTCATTTCAATTAAATTTAAGGAAGGAAAAAAAACTTGGCTTATTAACATGTTGTTCAAATTTTCATCACAATAATTACTTTTTTTCTTTATAGAAAGATTTACAAATATAAATTAAAATAGTTTTATGTGGGTAACAGTCATAGACGACTACTACGTCCCATGCACACAATTTTATTAAAATTTGAACGTATTAGAAATTATCTTCAAATTAAAATTAAAGAAAAAAATAGGTTACGTGTCTTTCATTGGTCATTTACATTGGATTTAACAAAATTGCGCCCCAAATAAAATTAATTCACAAACTTATTCCACGGTGTTTGGCTCTAAATTCACATAAGTGGAGGTCCAAAATCAAATTTTTCAATAATTTCCGCAATAAGTTGAGCTCGGAAAATATTATTTTTCCAAAAATCTTGTGTCAACCATGAGAAAATCAAATATTTTTAATTATTTTATTTTCAAATTTTTTACTTTCATGATTTATCTTTCTTGTATTTACTATTTTATCCCAATTAATTTTTAAGTTGGACTTTATTTTTGCCCTTCCCAATTTTCAACATTGTTTGGGGAAGGGAATACCCTGGACACGTGGAGGATCCCTATTGGTGCTCCAAGATGGCTCATGAGTCATGCCCAGCTCGGATAGCCGAGCTGGCCGCCACCAACGCCGAAAAATGCTAAGTATGAGGGCCGAGGTGGACCTGACCCAGGTCTGACCTACCGGGGAGCTCGGTATGGGCCGAGATGAGCAACTGTTTGCGGCGTGATTATCGGGCGTAACCGTCGGTCCCGAGATTACCGGGTGTAACCGACGGTCCCGAGATTACCGAATGTAACCGTCGCTAGATTAGCG